GTGGTTAAGTTCAGATTCCTGTAGAGAAAAAATGGAATGCAGAAAGAAAGTAGAAATAGGGAGACTTGTGAGCTCTGATTCACCCACTGCAGTAGCCCTTTCTACGGAGCTCTGGCACAGGATGTGACCATTAAGGGTTTAATAAAAAGCAATATTTATTAGTTATTATTTATTTTAATTATTTATTATGTTAAGTTTTTTGTTATGTTGCCCTTTCATATTCACATCTTGAAACTTTTGCTTTCTTTACGTTGTGTTATTAAAACAATTAAATTAGTTGCTCGGGAGAATTTTAATGGTCTATTCATAAATGATTTATAATAATGAGAAAGTTAAGATAAAAGCATAAATTAGTTGTGTTATTAATAATGAATTTTTTATGTTATAATTAAAAGTGTAATAATAGTATCATTTTTAATATTATGATTTATAACTGTTAATATGATAATTTTAAATGAAATTTTTATATTTTATGTTGTTATTTATTATTTTTTTATGATTTTTTATTAATTAATAGAGATTTTCATGTACATGTAAATGACATAACTTTTCTCTTCTTTTAATTCTTTTCATTATTTTTCCGTTATGTATATATTAGGGTGAGTTTAATTTTTAATAATTCTGTGCTTAGAGTTTTCCGTTATCTATAATAATTATATCAACACTAAGCAAGAGTGTGACACACAACCCGTGCCGGGTTTTTGGGCCTTTTTGCTATTTCTTTAAAGATAAAATTGCAAGGTTGGTCCTAAGACTTCTACATGGTGAACATCAAATCCTATATCTTTGAATTTATTCATTAGGTCCCTAATTGGAACTTTTGTTTCACAATATAGTCCTCAAACTCTGTAAGGATTTATAATGTAGTCCCATGATTTCTATTATTATGCATTACAATATTTTTTTATGCGTTTCCAAGGATACACATCTTTCACCTCTGAATGCACCTCTTGTTTACTTTCCCTTTCAACACAAATAGATGCATAGATGCAAAACGTGATCAAGGTGACTGCAAAAGGGTACAAAAATTCGACATGGTATAGTGTCGACACATAATTTTGGTGTCAACACCATATGATAAGCATCCAAAACTCCGACACAAACCTAGTGTTGGTGTTGACACATAATTTAGGGATCAACACTATACGAAAGAGCTATTCCACAAATAATTTATTAAAACAATAGAAAAATCTACATAATAATTTATTTTCATTTGTGATAGGTGACAACAATAATGAAAATAAAAGAAAAAAATCTAGTCTTATAAATAAAGTTGGAAGAGTTATCAATAATAATTAAATTAATAATAGATTATTTAGGAACATTTTATTTATATTATATCATGAATAGTTAATTCTACATAATATGAAAATTATTAGATATTGTTTAGAAGCACATTCATCTTTTTCTTACTATAGTAAGATATTTTCATTCTTTGTAACATTTTTCTAAGTCCTTCAACAATACCTGAAACATGATCTTTATATTCTACTTCTTTTTCTTTCTCCACTTCACGCAAGCAAGACTATCTTTGAAGAGCTTCTTCGAAAGCTTGCATTTTGGTGTAATTAACATCTTCAGTTGCAAAATCATGAGATTTCTTTAGCTCTAAGATAGCATGTTTTGCAACAGATTGTTCTGCTTCTTCCATAGTTGCAAAAGGATAGCCATTGTAAATTAATTTCATAGCAATATAATCCTCTTCTTGGATTAGTTGAATACTGGAGGCATAATTCCCATCATCACTTAGATTTGTTTGATATTGTAGCTGGCCTAGATTCAATCGAATAGATATCCTCTCCAATAGTTCTTTGAAATTAATTCTTTCCACAAATCTAGGGTTTTCCATGCTACAAAATTGTTGTCAAAAGAAAATGTTGAATTGTAATATATAAATAATGTAATTGAAAAAAAAAATGAAATAAGTATCAAATGTAATATACCTTTTTGAAATTGTTGGTTGACTCAAATTCCTTCATCAATGGTTTGCATGGAGAATGAGGAAGGGGTGAGCTTAAATAGAAATCATGCAAGTATATCTCTTTAATTAGATTATTATTATAGGATAGGTTAGGAATAGTGATTCTTTATTTTTAATCATCATCATTACTATGGCATTAAATTTTATTTGTATAATCTATTTAAATTCATTGGAAAAAAACATATCTTTTTAAATAAAAAATGAAAATAACATTATAGCTTATAATGATATAATAATTGTAATCATTATGATATTATAATTGCATATGTAGTTGTTATATTTTTTTTTAAAATAAATTTTCAGTTAGATTATTATTATATGATAAGTTAGGAATATTCACTCTTTATTTTTAATCATCATCATTGCTATGGTATTAAATTTTATTTGTATAGTCTATTTAAATTCATTAACAAAAAAAACGTATCTTTTTATATATAATATAATAATATAAATTTATTTAT